GATTATCAGTAACCCGAATTTCTTTTTTAGCTTTGACCAAGGACTCAGATTTTTGGTTAAACATCCATAACGTACCACACAACGAAACACGTAGAGATCATATGGCTTCACCCTGCGGAAGAGGAACCTTTCTTCTAATGGCACTTTGCTTATGGGAAGCGATTTGACCGAAGCAAAGACAAGGACAGAGTGTAAAGCTGGCACATTCTCCACATAATGTTTGAAAATTGGTGGAATTCCATGTACAAGCTCAGAATAGAAAATTGCAAGTCCGGGAAGACGATGATATGAATTTGTCTCATCGACCGTTTCTTTAACTTTTTCAGGAGAGATCTTGTTTTTTAGCTCGAAGTGGTATTTCTTTCGGTACACATAATTCCATACGTACATGATAAACAATAGGAACATTGCAAAAGCCAGTGGAAGGTAACCACCTTGATCAAACTTGTACAGGACTGCACTTAGGTATACAAGCTCAACCGAACCAATGACTAGAACGTAGGCGATTATAAGAAGAATGTGAGTTTTCCATATCATGATCATGACTAGTACGAGGAAGCATGATGTTAGTACCATCACAAACACCACCGCTATTCCTGTAATTAATAACAACAAAACGGATGTGTTAAAATATAGTCCTTTTTTTTACACTATCGATAATTGTATATAACTAACGAAGTTCCAATGATAAATGGCCTTACCATATGCATTGCTAAGCTTTTCAGTGGTTCTGAACGCAAGAGTGACAAGAACACAAGCCAACATGAGAAGGGTATTGATTTCAGGAATGTAGATTTGACCATGATGCTTTTTTGATGTGTGCATAATTTTAACACGAGGAAAACATCCTAATGCAAGGGATTGTTGGATTATAGCGAAAGTCCCAGAGATCAAGGCTTGACTTGCAATGATGGCTGCCAATACAGCTACCCCAAACATTGGCCAATATATACTCTCTGCATTTGTAAGGCAAAAGAAAAGAGCATGATGAGCGATACATAACTATATGTTTGTATAAAAGAATTTAAATTATATACACAGACCGTACAAAAAAATTGTACTATCTATGCTTACTAGGTAAGGACTTGTAGAAAGTATCAGCAACTTCATCACTGTGCTTTGTTAAAAAGGCGCCTTGACCAAGATATGCTAATATGAGCGCTGGGTATGTTACACAGCACATGCTTATTTGTACAGATCTAACAGTAAAATGACCAACGTCAGCAAATAGTGCCTCAGCTCCTGCAATTATTCATCCAACTTTTTACTCGTCATAAAAATTGTTACAAAAGCTATTTATATTTTTCTTCTTCTCCTCTCGAAATTTAATTAAGGGTGTTGGAATTATTGCAACCTGTTATGCACATAACAACCCCGCCAAGGGAAACCCAAGCATCCTTTCCGTTCCTTTGAAAATAGGCGACGATGTACATAGGATTAAGAGCTCGGAATATAGTTATATCAATGGTCACGAAGTTGTAGATGCCAATGCCAGCAATCAAAACAAACCACATGCAAAGTATAGGTGCAAATGTGTAGCCAACTTTTTCAGTTCCAAATCTTTGAAACACGAATAGCAATATCAAGATGGCTACTGAAAGCCACACGATTCTATCTGCATTCAATGTCAAAAAAATATAAACATTAGTCCGCATTTCATATGACTTTCAAAATTAACTCATAGGACAAATTTAAGATGCAAAGTTTACCTTCAGTCATGACTGAGGGAGCAGCTGCTTTGACTCCTCCAACAGCAGACAAAACTGGCCACATCAATTATAGAAATTCTCATTAGTACCATAAACGCCTATGATGTTCTTAACCTAGTATCATTCTGTTTAATAAAAAGGGGAAAACTGTGACGTGCCTGAAATACAGGGCGTGAGGACACCATCTCCAATAACCATGGAAGTACCAAGCATTGTGGCTAATAACAAAAAGAACTTTGCAAAGTTGCTGTTTTCTAGCGTTGACTTAAGCTTTGAAGCTCGACGTGTACGTCTATCTGGCATATCAAGTTTAAAAGTCGACACATCTTTGTCTTCTGCCTGTGTACTTGGAATTAATCCCACCTTAGTATATCGGCATATCAATGAATATAACGCAAATGTACCTCCTGCCATAATAATAATAATAATAATAATAATAATATGATTTAAAGAAATTAATGCATTGGGTACCTAGTAAAAGAAGTGAAGTTACCATCTCCGTTGTCGTTAGCTTGGAGAACAATGAAGACATACTTGACGACAGGAATCAAAGTGATAGTGTAAATGATGAGAGAAAGAGCGCCAAGTACATCCTCTTCATGTTTTATACCATCAAGGAAAATGGTCGAAAACACGTACAATGGTGACGTTCCAATATCTCCGTACACAACCCCTAAGCTCTGAAATGCCAGTTTCATTATCACTGACCATCCCACTACCTGCTTGGCACCGGGCATTTTGCTGGATTCCAAATCTAAGGAGTCGTGTCGCTTTAATTTCTGGCTAGTAACTGTCTTTCCCTTAAGATTTTTCTCATGAGGAACATCATCTTGGCTTTGCTCAATGTTGCTCCCCATCTTTTTTTATTCATTAAAAGATTGGTTTATTACCCTTCTTTTGTTTGGAAAAAAGAGATGATCAAAATTAGAGTTCCATCGACATGGTATACTTACTAACCAATGAATTGGTTGATCAAAGAGAAAAGGCAAGAGAAGTAGGTGGGAGACACCAACGAAATAAAAATGAATTTTGAGTCCGAGAACTCAATATGAAATTTCGCACAAGCGTTTCCCAACACTACAATTCTCTACGAGAACTTTGAAGTAGATACAAAAATCGACTTAATAAAAATGAGGAAAAGGAGGCACTTATTTATACGAGAAGAAAACCGTGTTCGTCCTCTCATCTTATACGTAAATGGCGCCTAAGATGTCATGACCAACAAATATACCAATGGACAACCGCGTTTCTCGTATCTCCTCTAATTCTCAACTATCATATGTCCTGTTTTCTCGACTCTCATATGTCCTGTTTGTTAACTGGTGGTCAATGTACGTAACTAAACTTAGAAATAACACATTTCTATTAATGGAATAAGATGAAATTTTTATGTTTAAAAAACAGATTGCAAAGCATATGTGGAGTATCCAAATACTTACTACTACCTTCGATCCTAAATATTAGTCGTATTAGCAAACAAAATTTGTTTCAAAGTATTTGATATTTTAAAATTACAGCAAATCATTTATTTATTTTTATTATTTTTTTTCAACTCTATCCTTACTGTTTTCTATTATGTAGTTTAGTTAAGTGATATGTTTAAGGAGAAATAAAGGGTAGTTTATACAAATAATTTAAAATATTAAATGGTGTACATAATAGTCTTAGAAGGCAGATAATATGTACAAGAGGAAGTATTGTTTAATGGACATGCATTTCTTTCTTGCTGAACAAGACAATCGTCAGTCAAAAGCTTTTAATAATTTTCCTCTAGAAATGGTAGTTTTTTAGAAATTACAAGGCATTTGGCAATGCAAATCTTATCATGAAGTATGTGAGCTTTTGAAGAAAAAAAAGGTTTTCAAAAAACAAATTTAGAAAATCCAAGCTTTTTCAAAATACTTATAAAATTTCTCAATCCGAAATAACCAGTTTAACTCTTATATAAGAAAGTTATTTTCCAAAAAAAAAAAAAAAAAAAAAAAAAAAGACACTTACCCAGAAACAGTTTTCTTCCAAAAATGTTGTTCAAACTGCGTAGCATACGGTTTCTTAGGGTTTCAATCTTTGCTATAATTTCTCAAATTTACTCTTTCTGTTTAATTTTGATTCGATAATAAGCGTTTCATTTATTGATCTCCATGTATAATATGGACAAACCTAGTATATAGTGAGATGAGTTTCTGGTTAAAGTTTGCTTCTAATCTATGGCCTAATTGGCTAAATCAATAAGGTAGTTTCATTTTGTTCCACTCCCGTTTATCCTCTTGCCTAACCCCTAATTTTTGCATGTGTGTTGTTTTTTTTTTTGGGAAGGCAGTTTTTGGTATGAGTTTTAATGTAAATGTAACAAGATAAGTATGTAAATATTTTATTTACTACCAATTAAAAAAGTGACAATTTTTCAAAGGACAAACTTTTTATGGGCGCTGTATTTTTTTTTTCTATCTTTCTCGTGCTATTTTAACCGGGCTGACTTATAGCGTGTTTCAATTTGGCCAAGCTTCTCCGAGGTTAAAAGTATCTTTTTTTTCAAAGTTGAAGTGTTTGGCAGAAAGTACACTTAGAAGTACTTCGAAAAACTTAATCAAACATTAATTGCTGCTTAGAAGTGCTTTTCAAATTAATTAGCTAAACACAGAGCAGATGTAGTGTGTACTAGATGGGTTCAATTGAACCCATAACTTCCGACGCGAAGTAAAAATTTATATGTAAAAATTCATTAAAATTACAAAAATAATAGATGTGAATCCATAACTTTAAAAATATAATGGGTTCAATGCTAAAAAATTTAAAAGTTAAACCGACAGGATTTGAATCCTGGATCCGCCTCTGGCTAAACACAAAATCTTTCTCACCAAAAGTAATTTTAAAAAGCGCTTTTGACAAAAAAAAGAAAATACTTGGCCAAAATAAATTGATTTGAAAAGTTCGGTGAAACAGACTATTAAAGCTTAGCCGAATTTTTCAACGGCTTTCCTTTTCATTTATTCGTTTTTCTTTTTTTTAAAAAAATATTGGCCTGCATCGTGAATATATACGTGAAGGCAAATGAAGAATTTAGAATTTACTGGTGCAATTTGAACCCCGCACCCAAGGAAACTTGTTTGAACTGCAGTAATAGATACAACTCCAATCCCGCCGTTTTTTTCAACTTCCCATCTAGAAGTTTTCTCCTCCTTCTCAAATCTCACTACACTTTTAGAGTGAGAAACCACATTTCTTCAACAAAGGGCAAGCCACTACCCCTCACCAATGAACAACATGCAGGAAAAAGAAGACCACCAGATGACAGAATAAGAAATTGACCAGTTGGATCGCAGCAATCGTAAACCAAAATCGGCACAACCAATAACTAACACTACTAGAAATTCGGGCGAAATCGTCCAAAAAAACCGATCAAAATTGATCGGTAATGGCCAAACCGTCCAAAACGCGATCATTTACGTGTGAACTGTATTTTGAAGATCGGAAGGGCATACCGACCAAAGTTGGTCGAAAATTTACCGACCAACTTTGGTCGGCCAATTAAATTCAAAAAAAAATATTGTCGGTCGGTATTTTAATTATGTAATTAAAAAAATACACCGTCTAAAAATCGAACTGGGGTCTGTACTGTGGCACAATACTATTCTACCACTAGACTATTGGTGCATTTCGTTTTTAAAATGTCGTACAAAAATAACCGACCAAAGTTGTTTTATTAAAAAATAAAATTACCGACCAAAGTTGGTCGGTTTTTTAAAATGACCGGCCGAATTAACCGACCAATTTTGGTCGATTTTTTTAATATTTATTTTAATTTATTTTAAATAAAAATCCGACCAAAGTTGGTCGGTTTTTTAAAATGACCGGCCGAATTAACCGACCAATTTTGGTCGATTTTTTTAATATTTATTTTAATTTATTTTAAATAAAAATCCGACCAAAGTTGGTCGGTTTCTTGAAAAATAAATTTCACGGACTCAAAAATAGTTTCCCGTATTTTTGCGCCATAAAAAAATTAAAAATATCGATCAACTTTGATCGATTTTTTGGCCGGTTTCTTGGTCGGTTTTTGCCGAATTTCTAGTAGGGCAACCTGTCCTCAACTGAACATGTAAGTTTTCGTGATAAATTATTTCTAGAACCATCCCCTATGCCTACTGATGTTGATACTCAATTTCTTAGCAAACTTTCACTAGAAGATAGAAACAAAAAATCAAACAAACCACCCATATTTTATTTTCATTACCCACTGTGATAAATCACAATTTTATCATCCTTGGAACCAAGCCCTTATTATAAAATTACTTGGAAAAAAAATCTCATACCATCTTCTAAAACATAAAATAGAACAACTAAGGAAACTAAATGAACCTCTTATTCTGATTGACTTAGGTTATGAATATTACTTATTAAAAATAGCAAACTTTGTTAACTACAACCACATGCTCCACAATGGACCATGGTTTATTGGATCCCAATATCGTACTATTCGACAATGGAAACCTAAATTTAACTAGGCGACCGCTAATATTAACTTATCCACTATATAGATTCGCCCACAGGAATTTCCCACTGAGTATTATGACTTGGAGATACTCAAAAAAAAAATAGCAAATCACATTGGCACCCTTTTAAAAATAGACACATGCACAGTCCACACTATTAGAGGTCGATATGCACGTCTTTGCATTCTCACACCCCTAGGCAAACCGCTGCCTAAAAATGTGTTATTAGGATCTCACCTACAATAAATTTACTATGAAAATGCTACTTCCATTTGCACTAATTGTGGATGTTTAGGACATACTAATTCCCAATGCCCTAACACCCCACCTACAACATCCCCCACTACTGCTAATACAATAACAACGCCTTCTCAACCTACAACATAATCACCCACACAGGGCCAATGAAAAACAGTTACCTATACCAAACCTTCACGTATTTCCACTAATCGCAATTATCCTAACCAAAACAACCTTCTTCTTCCAAAATCGCCCACTACTCCTTGACATGCAAACATATCAAATATCCCCAAGTAGGGACCCACAAAATCAAAAACAACCAAACCACTCCAAATACCATCTCCCTAACCAATAAATTTTCCTATACCACTACCAACGAAAATCCTGAGCTCTATAAATAACCTAACACTATGGTCCCTCCACCCTCAGTAATTATTTCCTCACCGGATACACCCCCTGCCATACACCCCGCCGAAATTCAGCCTACCAATCATCACATACACATGCATCCATTACCTACTATTTTCACTATCTATACCCCATCATCAAACTCTACCCTAAATAATCCTCTTTTTACCTCCCATGCATTAACAGCCAATGACCAACCCAGACACCTTCTAATCGCTGTCAAAAATAATAAAAAAATAAAGCTCTTATTACACAAGCTACCAACCAAAAACAAAAAATAAAGTCGGATATAAAATTAGCTCCTCCAGCATCCTTACCTGATCCTATCACCTCTTCTACTCTACCCTCCTCAAACGACACTACGGAACCTATACTACCACCCATAAACTCCCAACACATGCAAAGCCAATGCATGCAACAACAACACACCATACTGCTACATGCCACCTCCAACACTGATACACCAGATCCTAACATGCAAACCACCATTTTCAAAGCTACCTTACTTCCTTCAATAACCATAAACGTCGCTGCAAACACTCACGTTAGCCAAAACCTCAAGAAACATCATGAATCTATAATACCCTCTACTGAACCTACTTTTTCATTTATTCCCCTACAAAACATTCTTGATAGCCAGGGCCATAATCACACTCAATCACCACTGCCACAACCCACTTCCACCAACAATACTCAAATTCCCTACTTGCCACTTC